TATCTATCTATCTATCTATCTATCTATCTATCTATCTATCTATCTACGGTATCTATCTATCTATCTATCTATCTATCTTTGCCAAGCACAACGCATATACACAAAACTTTAAGAACTGCCTAGGAAACCTGTCAAAAATGAAAAACGATGTGCGCAGAAGAAACATTTCTATATATTCAGTTTGAGTGAATATATATATTAAATGAGTTTCAGCTGCAATGGCCTGCAGGTTTTAATGTCATGCACAGGCCTCGTTTCCGGTTGAAAGAGGCAAAAGAGAGAGAAAATAGGAATCTTCTCTTTTGGTTTAAGGTCCGGATAGTCCTCAATTTAGAACCGTTCATGTTGCGACCATTCAAAATTAGATCAGCACTGAAAAAAAAAAAAAGCAGTGGCTGAACAATCCTCACACTTACGACTATCCGCCATATCTCCATGGTCAAAATTTGATCAAAATTTAGACAATTTCAACAGGTATGTACTTCTGAGGAGACCAAGGGTGAAGTGATTTTCATTTGCAACCTTCCCAGCTGGCATCTGACAAGCAAAGATAATGGGGGAATCACTTAACAATTGCCATGATTCGTTTAATGACCAAATGTAATATCAGCAGCTGCCTTGGAAATGCTGCCCCCCTCCTTGTGTCCTTAAGCCAAGGGCTACTTGCCACGAAATCAAACAGGGGAGGGTTTGCATAGGCAAGGAACCGCAGACACCACACAGTTTGCATTTCTGTTTTCTCAGGATCTTCGAGTACTAGGTCAGATTTTAAACTCCTGAAGTCTTAAGATGTCAAAGTCATAAATTCTTTGCAAGGGATCTCTGGAAAGTGAGGCAATGTTGCACCCTCCCCCGGCAAACAACCCAGTTTTGTCTGTCTTTGCTAAGATTAATCACTCTCCCAGGAATGTATCCTTAGAATATTTCTCTTCTAGGTTTACGGTACATTTAAATTAAGGGTCAGTGAAAGAGCATGTATAATGGCGGTAACAATGCCATCTTATAAAAGGAAAGAGGTGAGATCGAAACAAATGAATATATCGCCGACCAAAACCTACCATACGTAAAGGAAGGCATGTATTTTATGCTTAGCAAAAAACCATATGTATCGGAAAGATAAAATGCCTATTTAAGAAAACATCTGGTTTCACTCTAGATAAGGAAACCTTTGTTTGCAATAAGCGAATACATTCCATTCTATTGATCATGACGGGCTAAATTTTTAATCTAAAAGAAAAAGAAGAAGAGAGGAAGATAAGCTACCCAGGAGAACAATTTAAAAATATATTAGGTGTGTCTAACACTCCAGGGAATCTAAGTCTCAGGGCAATTAAATGCCGTACTTTAAAAAATGCCAATGAAATTCTCATTAATTAGCTCACATTGGGAAATGAGAACCATGTCGGTTTGTAGTTGCCAAGTTCAGAATTTGGTAGCGTCTCAGAGCGAGAGGAGTTATTAAAAAGCATAAGTGTTTTGTGAATGGAAGCTCATTATGCCTTTTGATAATTTGTTAGTCCGAAAGGACTGGAATTCGCCTGCCAGTAAGTTCCTGGTTAAGAGAGATTTAAGTATTATGGAGGAATATAGAGAACTCGCTTAAGTCAACATTTCCTAAAGTGAGAAGAGGGTATACTAACATTAATCCCAATAACCGGCAACTCAGATTGTTTAAGGATGAAAAGTGCAGTCTTGGTTGGTATATTAGGAGAGAGAAAGAGAAAAAAATCCAATCTTATGAAGTTTTCATGTGCCACTCGGTTATGAGTAGATTAAAATTAGCATTTAAAAGCAGTGAAATATATAAACATATTGAAAAGGAGACTAAATAATAGCTAAGGATGAAATCTTGAGTAAGTCTCAAGAGTTCTCACCTCGGGTCCTCAGGTGAAAAAAATCAAGTGGCAAGCATGTCCAATATACTTTCCTCCTATTTCACCGCAACAACAACCCTGTGAGGTGGATTAGAGAGGGAGGGAAGGAGAGAGAGAGAGACTATAAAGAAGTTTCTTTTATAAATGAATCCTGCTGAAATATTTACTTGTGTGCCGGTCGGATGTGCTGCAAACTCCAATATTTCTGTAACAGCAGTTTGTAATTCTTACCTTCTTGTCCGCATGTGGTAGAATATATCTCACCGTTTATATAGCCAGTTCTCTTTTCTCAAGAAATTTCCTAATCTTTCTTTTTTGTAAGGGATCTCTCTCCCTCCCTCCCCCCTTCTCTTTCTCTCTCTCATCACTTAGCAAACAGCATTGATCATAAAAGCTGGTTACAACATTCCTACTCTCCTAAAACCTGGTCTTAGGCCACGCTGGAAAACCTTAACTGTTGCGTTTGAGAAACTTCCGAGAAAGACAGCTAATACTGTATGTTTGTCTGGGGCAAATTGCCCATGAAAAGAAAATTGGTAGCTCAGGATTGAACGGTGGGGGTCCTTGTCCCACAAGTGCTTTTTAAAAAGGCTTCCCTTGAAGACGTTTCACTTCTCACCCAACAGGCTTCTTCAGTTCTTCACTAAAGAAGCTTCTTGGATGAAAAGCCGACACGTCTAGGAAAAACAAAGAATATCCAGTTGTCTTTCAAAAAAAGAAAAACCACTTTACGGACAACGCTGACCTGAATTATGGACAATCTCCACAGACATGTGAGGTTCGTGGTGCTCTCTGAGTTTGGTTGTTTGCTTGCAGACTTTTCATGGCCCAGTTAGGGAACATCATCCGTGGTAGAAGGGAGTGGGATTTGCTCTCTGTTTATATACAAGTGGTTTGCCCTTCCAGTGTTGGGGGCAGTGGCTTTGTTGGTTCAAGATCAGAGAAACAAAGTTTGTAAGAACGTAGAGAGAGCCAAACATAGTCTATGGCAGTGTTTTGCAACTTTAAGAGGTGTGTGGACTTCAACTCCCAGAATTCCCCAGCTAGCATGTGACCTAAAGGGCCATTTAATCCTTCCATCGCTGCTCACGTAGAAGAAGAGGAAGGGGGAAAAAAAACATCTGACCTTCCAGATGTTGCCAAACTACATTTCCCAGCAACCCAACCAGCATCGTCAGTGGTGAGGGATCTCAGGAATTCTAGTTCATTTGTCTCTTAATCCCAGATGCAAGGAAGGAACTAGGCATCTAAAAACTCAGCCACGGGGTTGAGTATTGGCAGATCTCTGACTTTATTTAGCCGAAATAAATCTATTTATGGAGGCATGGATAGCAAATCCAGGAAGGAGTTTCTGGGAGGTTGGAGAACTTTGGGCGAGACGGTAGAAGGAGATATTTGTAGAGTTCCAGCCTGACCTTGTTTGGCTCAAACAGAGAAGCTCCTTTGATGATATGACTCATAACTTCTCCTCTCTTTCTTCTGACATGGCAGTTTCTGAGAAGCCAAGAAACCAAAAATATCTTAATAAGTAAGCAATTTGAAGCCTTTCCAAGAAGTCTCGTGCTGAGCTTAAGGGGTGCGGTGGCCTGATTCTTCGGCTAGACTCTTTATTGATTTTCAGATTATTATTTTTTTTAAAAAAATATATTGGGAACGCTCTACAAGGATGGTTAATTTTGGCAAATACAGGTAGTCCTCAACGGTTCATTTAGCGACCGTTCAAAGTTACAATGGCATGGATATAAAGTGACTTAGGAACATTTTTCACAGTTACTGTCATGCCCCTGTCGGAGATTGAATCCGAGGAGGAAGATGAACAGCTGACAGGGAGTGTGGCTCCCTTGGCTGTGGGGGAAACTGGGGAAGGGCAAAGACCGGCTGGGCAGAGCAGGGGAGAGGGAGAACAAGGGAGAAGGGGTTCGGAGGAAAAGCCAGGCCCACCCTCTCTTCATCCTAGGGCACGGAGGGAGGAACGGAGAAGGGAGCAACGTGGGTTGCATGGCTTACGGGGGAGGAAAGGGCCCTGATTCCCTTCATTAGCCACAGCTGGGAAGAGAGTTTAAAAGAGATGCATGCCGAGTGCAGCAGCTTCTGGAAGCAAATGTGACTTTATCTTGTGTTGACTTTGCTCATCTGAGTTCCTAGCATCCTCCCAGCCGTGTTGAATTACTGCCATTCCTTCACGTGTGGAATTCTTGCTCCTCCCTGCTGGACTAATTACCTCAGTTTGGCTTGATTGGACTTAAAGTTACAGTTTGTGTTTACCCTGTTTTGGACTTGATTCTCTGCAGTCAAAGGCTGTTCCTGGGAGAGTTTTTCTCCAGCCCAGAAGCTGACCGGGACATTGGGGGCAAAGTTGGAGCTAATAAAGGGACTCCGACTGATTATCTGACGGTCTTGGCTTTGTGCCACGCCCTGGGTCATCACAGTTGCACCCTTTCCCCGTGGTCACCCAGTCAAAATTCCCTACGTTTGGCAACTGATTCATATTTATGACAGTCACTGTGTCCTGGTGTCTCTCTCTGTGTGTGTGTGTGTGTGTGTGTGTGTGTGTGTGTGTGATGCGATCCCCTTTTGACAAGCAAAGTCAACGGGGAAGCCAGATTCATTTCACAACCGGGTTACTAACTGAACCATTGCAGCGATTGACTGGCAATAAAGGTCATAAACTGGGGTAAAAGTTCACTTAACAGCAGACACGTTGGGCTCCATGGTGGTTGTAAGTCGAGGACTACTTGTATTTGGGAGCAGTAGCCTGGAGAATCGAAGCGTCGTGCTGCGAAATTGCCCAGGGATTGTAAGCGGTTCTCCGCTTCTCTTTATCTTCTCTGCAATTCTTCCGTCCCCCACCCAGGAAGGAGGGTTAAGCCGAGGGACCCATATTGGACTACCTATTTTAGCCAACTGGATGGAAGGCCACAAGGAAACCTCCCATTTCCTGTTGGTTTTTCAATAATTAAAAAATAAAATCTTAACACACAATGAATCCTTTGGCATTCTTGCCAAGAAAACTAGGTGGAATATCTCCCAAGCATTACCAGAACTTGAACCTGGTTCCCAGGGTGAACATGATGCCTTCTCCCAGTGCAGCTCTGGTGGCCTAGAGGGGGAGCTCTCGCCTCGCAATCGGGAGTCTGTTGAGTTCGATCCTAGGTAGAGGCTAATATTTGGAATAGATTCTCCTGCTGGAGCAGGGGCTTGGAGTAGAACAGGGGTCGGCAACCTTTTGGACCTCAGGGACCACCAAACTCATAATTTTAAATTCATAATTTTTAAAATTTTAAATGGACCAGAGAACCTGGGAAAATCCCCCCCCCCCAAAAAAAATCTGCAGGAAAGTCCCCCACCCTGTTTTCCTACTGATCAATTGTTCTTTATTTGGGATTGCAGGATACCGTCTCCAGCTCCGTTCTCAGGGGAGAAAGAGAGAGAGAGAGAGAGAGACGGAGAGAGAGAGACTTTTGGCTTTATGCAAGGAAAACAGCAGAAGCAGCAGAAGTCTTTCTTTCTCTCTCCCAAACTCTGCCAGAAATGAGTCTTTGCCGTCACAGCTTCTTGGAGCAGGAGGCCTTGCAGGGTCCGAAAAACTCATTTCTGGCAGAGTTTGGAGGAGAGAAAGAAAGACTTTGGCTGCTTTCCTTGCATGCAGCCAAAAGCAGAAGAAGAAAGAAGCAGAAAGAAACAGCCCGGTGGCCAGGCCAGGCACGTGAGGCGACTGGGGCAAGTTCCCCCCCTCCGCTCTTTCCCCTCTCCCCTCACTACCTCGTGTTGTGTGCAATGCAAGTGATGCAAGCCTTGTGTTCCCACGGGCCATGTGGGCGGCGCAGCCTTGTGTTCCCACGCAGCCTGGATTAATTGCTTTGGGGGGGAATATTTCTCTGCGGACCAGCAAAATTTTCTTAAAGACCATCAGTGGTCCCCAGCCCACTGGTTGGTCACCACTGGACTAGTGGCCTCCAAAGTCCCTTCCAACACTGTTATTCTATGCTTTGTTATGTTTTGGGTTTTCAATTCCCATCAGCCTCCTCTAAAAGTGGCCGAAGTCTTGTGGATTTCTTTGCCTGCGTTGTATGCAATCTGAGAGATGGGAAAATAAATTCTGCCTTAGTTTTGGGGTGCTGGCCAAGAGCCCAACATGCCATTGTGTGTGTGTGTGTGTGTGTGTGTATGTGTGTGGCTTTGCAGTTGTTGTAACATTGAAAAATGGGTCGTAAGTAGATGTTGGGGGGTCTTTTGTCAGTTCAAAAAGGAAAACCAATTGGAAAATAAAGTATGATATGAATGAAGGTGGATATACATATCCCAGGACAATGTTAGAATAGAATAGAATCAATGAGCTGGAAGGGACCTTGGAGGTCTTCTAGTCTGACCCCCTGCTGAAGCAGGAAACCCTAGACCATTTCAGACAAATGGTTGTCCAGTTTTTTTCTGAAAAACATCCAGTAATGGAGCACTACAACTTCTGGTGGCAAGCTGTTCCCCTGGTTAATTATCCTCCCTGTTAAGTCTCTCCTTAATTCCAGGTTGCTTCTCTCCTTGGTTAGTTTCCATCCATTGTTTCTTGTCCAGCCCTTGTGGTGCTTTGGAGAATAATTTGACCCCCTCTTCTTTGGGGCAACCCCTCAAGTACGAGTTAACCTGGGTCAAGTAGGATCCAATCCGTTGCAGGATCCAATTGGGGTTGGTTTCCAGGACCAGAGGCGTTTTGTCTCCTAAGCTTTTGGTATTACGCTGGATTCAAGTCTCCTGAGGACAGGCTCCCGTACGAATCCGAAAGCTCGGAAGACAAAAATGTCTGGTCCAGATTGGATCCTACAAAGTGAGAGGTGGTATTCAGCCGGTTCTGACTGGTTCTGTAGAACCGGTAGCGTAAATTTCGAGTAATTTGGAGAACCCGAAAATCCCACCTCTGACTGGCCCCATCCCCATCTATTCTCTGCTGATCGGCTGGGCCTTCTTTTGTTGCCCTGCACAGGAGAACGGAGCTGGAAAGCAGGTTAGTGGGGTGGGGAAGGAAGGGGGATTTTGCACGCCACGCCCACCATGCCACACCCACAGCACCGGTAGTAAATTGTTTTTTGAATCCCACCACTGTGCAAAGTATGAGATATTTGTTTATAACCATGAACTGGGGAAAGTGTGAAGACTGATTCTTTTTTTTCCCCCCCTCTTTGTCTTCCTGTTTCAGAACAACCCGAGCGATCGCTCCGTTTCCTAGCCCAGCCCGTCGGCCAGAAAGCACCTCCCAATGGCGGAGAAGCGAACCCTTGAATCCGTGAGCACCATGAGTTACAGCAAGCTTCCTCGACTGGAGGGGGAGCCAACCCACATCCTCCCGGTGGGTTTGTGCCGGTCGAGTAGGCTGCCGGACCTCCCCTCAGAAGACCACTACAGTTACAAAGGCTCCTATTTTACTTTCCCGTTCCCATCTCATGAAGCGCCTAAAACTTTAACTCACTGGTCAGCGGCTGAGAACTACAACCATTGCCCGGCTGGCGCGCCTGACCGCTCTCCGAGGACAGAGAAAACAACCTGCCAGTCTGAAATGGAAAGTTTGAAAGCTCGGCGGAGACTTGCGGCCTCTCAGAAGGTCAATGAATGTACCGCCCGCGAACAGTGGGCCAGCTACGTGGGTCATGCGGGCGTCATCCAGCAAGGTTGGCTGCAGGGATACCCAACCCAACAGCTCCCTCCAGCTCCTGCAGCTTGTTCCACCTTGGCGGCCCCCAAACCGGTTTACCAAAGCCACGCATACGGGGCGGAATCGGGCTACGCTCCCAAAAGGGCTTTGGCCTTCCGAATGCAGGTGGAGAACTACTCAAAACGTTTGGAATGGTCTTCCCCGTCCTCTGTTTTGCCCACGGGTGCCGAGAGTCGGGGTTACGGCACAGCCGGGTCCAAGAAGACCTCGGTGGCCGAGAACAGCGTGGTGCAGTTCCAACACGGATCCAAAGAGGGCGCTGTCCACTCGTCTGGCTTCATGCCTTACCATAAGGCGTTGGAGAAATGCCAGGGGGCACAGAATGGCTCTTCCAGCTACGCCTCTGTCAGCCATAAAAGCAACTCCGAGTCCCCAGCAGGTAGCAATTCGAGAAAACACATGTGGTCCAGGCTACCGCCGTCACCTCTTCCTCCTCCTCCTCCTCCTTCCAGCTTGCTGCTGAATTCCCAGGATCTGGCATACCAAGAGCGATCACCTTCATGCTACCCTCTAGGATCGTATCCTCTCACTTCTCACGAACAGATGTTGTTGTATCATCAGAGCTACGTGCAAGCCGAAAAAACAAACTCGGTCTTTGCTTTGGCGGCCTGTAAAGGTTTTGGGTCTCCTCCGGGCCATGAAGATGGTCAGGTGTTCCCCAGGTCATATTTTCAACAAACCTCTCACAGCTATTATCCCGGGCATCTGGAGAGCTACCTTTACCAGGCCATGGGCCCACCTCCGTTGACCCCCTCTGAAGAGCTTCACCCTTCAAGGGAACACGAGCATTCACACAATGCGACGGCCAAGGGGGACTTCTCCCCCAAGACTCCTGTTCCTGCCTGTGCTGTGCCTGAAAAGCCTGCTTCAGCTTGTAGTCCTTGGCGCAGCCAAGGTGGCCTTCCAGACTGGTGTGAGAGTAGACGTGTTGCAAGAGAAGCCAACGCAAACTCTTCCACTCTGCAAGCTTTCCCTTCCATTCATCAAGTAGACCGGCTGTCTCATTGTTACAACAGGGTTGAAAAGATGGAGGAAAGTGGTTGCAAGAAGGATCTTTGCCCACCAGAAAAGGTGACTGAGAAGGAGGAGGAATCTTCTGAGACGCACAAAAACTTGTCCTTAACTTATGAATCTAGGAAGAGAAGCATCGACACACACAATAATGAACCGGGAGGTTGCATAATTGTTCCTGATAGCCCGGTTATCTCCCACAATCCCTACTCCAAACCAGTCCTGCCCAAAAATGTTCTGAAGGCTCCTAACATCCAATCTACATCTCATGGACAATGGTCCCCAGAGGATCAGCTGGAGGGACTCCACAAACGGCGTGAAGGTTCCTCAATGTCTTCCCCTCCCATGCCTGTTATCAACAACGTCTTCAGTTTAGCTCCATACCGAGCCTACTTAGAAGGTTCTGCTGATTTGGTGGAACTGGACACCACTAAACATTGTCAGGCCGAGGAGTTGCCTCCCAAAAGTGGAGGCAAGAATGTGGACAACGAATGTGCGCCTTGGGCAGGCTCTCAAAGAACAACCAAAGAATCGAGGCTGAATCTGCCTAGGGAGGAAGGAACCACTCACAATACAAGAATGAAAAGTGGAGATGCTGGCTTGAATAAAGATAGTCTCCCAATAGGACAAGGGGGTGGAGATTATGCTGGCTCTTGGGAAAGCTACAAGGTCCCACTTCTGAATCCAACCGATCTTGTATCTTGCCAACCATTCCCTGACAATCTTTCCAATGGTAGAGTTGAGAAGCTTGCTCAAGAAGACCGTGTCTTGGATCTCAGCTTTAAAACGGAAGACTTGGCAGAGAGATCTGATCTTCTGCAACCTTGCAAGAAAGCTAAGGCTCCAGATGTTGGAGGTCCAAAGATCCAAGGTGAAGAAGTCCAGGAGAAAGCAGCCAACAGCCAGGGTTCTGTCTCCCAGGCGAATGGAGAGACCTTGGTGCTGCCCATCAACGGTGATGCTAGAGGTAACCGACATTTCCACAGCTCCGCGGCATTTCTATTCAAGAAATTCAAAGTCCTAAAAGCACATGCAGCAGAAGCGGCCTCTGGGGTCAAGGATGCCTCTCTCCCAAAAGGTACTGACTCACAAGTAACTCAGCCAAACAGCCCCTTGCTTGGTCTCAGCCTTCCCCAGACTGCGACGCCATCCGAAACTCTGATCTTGCAAATCAAGTGCTTGAATGCTACACTGCCCGATGCGTCTACGCTCTTGCTTCCTAGTGGCCCTCCTGGATCTCCTGCCCTTCGAGAGACCCAGGTTCTGGATCCTGCCACTGAAAAACTTCTTGGTCAAAAGAAGCCACCCAGGCAATATTTCACCGCGTTGCATTCCTGTGTCTGCACCATAATATCTGGTTCGGTGTCTACCTCCTCCCCTGATCAGCTCAAGGAATGGCTGGAGATGGCCGAGCCCACAGTGGGGCTGCAGGAGAAGGCTGTCGGTTCCACCAAGCCCAAAAATGGTTTAAAGGTCTCTGAAGGCCCCAAACTCTCCAAGGGCAAAGAGATCTGGTTGGCCTTTAAGGATGTAGAGGTGCTTGTCAAGAAGTTGCAGTCTGAACTGGAGATATTCCTGCTCTATAATAAATGTCCTTTTCCTCACGTGATGCGAGCTGGCGCCATCTTCATCCCTATTCACGTGGTGAAGGAAGAACTCTTCCCCAATCTTCCTGGTGTGTCGGTTGACCACGTCTTGCAGGACCACAAGGTGGAACTGCGTCCTACCACGTTGTCTGAAGAGAAGGCGTTGAGGGACTTGGACCTCAAGAGCTGTACTTCTCGGATGTTGAAGCTGCTGGCTTTGAAACAGCTGCCGGACATTTACCTGGACCTCTTGACCCTTCATTGGCACGAGTGCGTCAAGCAGCAGCTTGGTAAGGGCAGACAATTGGCCTCCCTTAGAAACTTAAGCATTGAACTGAATATATGCTCTTCTTTTTTATTCCTTTTTCCTCTTCTCTGTCTTGCCAAAAGTTCATGATTTCCCCGGGCTTTGGTCACTGTACTTTCCTACTCTCACCCGACACAGCTTTGGTTGGTCTTCCTTATGAGATGTGGGTAGAAAATTGGCATCGTGGTCAGGGTCGATGCCCGAGACAGGATTTAGCCAACTCTACAAAGATTGGTGGGATTCTGCTTTCTAAATGGGGAGAGGACTGGGATCTTAAGAGAGTAGGCTGTGCTTAAACTCTGAAGGGCAGGATGCCCTGAGGCTGTTGGCAAAGAAGACATGGAATTGGGTGAGAGAGTCCTTGACTTATGACCATTCATTGAATGGATCTTCAAAGTTACGATGGTGCTGGGAAAAAAAAGTGGCGTACAAGTGATCTTCACGCGTAGGGCCACTAGATGTTTGTGTGATCAAAGTTTAGGTGCTTGGCAACCAGCATATATTTACAATGGTTGCAGTGTCCTGGGGTCACGTGATGACCGCCTGCATCCCTTCCCAGGGGACTTTCTGACATGCAAAGTCAATGAGCTGGATCCTCTTAATGACCAAAATTAGGCACGGGGTCCCTTAAAAAAACATATTGCTTGGCGAGAGAAGTTTCTGTTCCAATTGTGGTCGTAAGTTGAGGACTATCTGTGATTCAGGGACGAAGAACCTACCAAGGTCCATAACTCCACAACCTCTTTATTCCCCCCTGTTCTATCCAGATAGCAGCTGTTTGGCTTGGGAGTTCTAGTCTCAGTTCAGCTGGAAGGCGCCTTCATTAGAAAAGCTGGCAGTGGACAGCATTGGGCTAGATGGAACATTAGCTACTGTTGCCCACAACACATGCACACATGCTCACAGCCTTGCTTTCGTTAGCTCTGACCAAACTGTGTCCCCCCCTGCAAGCCAGTGTCATTTCAGATGATTCTTGACACCTTTATTTTTTCCAGGTCCAAGTTCACAAGCACGCCTGCACACCTCCAAGTAGGTATTCATTCTTTGTGTGGGTGCGTCTTGCTCATTGCTGCTGGGTTTAGTTGGAGTTATGGAAGGCCTTTGGGCACAGGTTGAGGTGCTAGGCTTCTTGAGATCTTGCTGCTTCGGTGCTATAATGGTATGTGGGAATGGCCTTGCGGGACAGGAGGAAGAGATGCACGCTAGGCAATGGAAAGATAAGAAGAGGCAGATTAGCTCCCGGAAGGAAACGGGAGCCAGGCAAATGTCTCAAAAGAGACCCTCTCTAGTTTCTTGGACTGCAAAGATGAGGGAGGAGGAAGAGGTGGCCTTTCAGGCTTGCAAGATAGGTAGAGGTGATCCCTGTGAGGTCGTCCAGAGGGGAAGCACCACCCAGGAATGCCAGTTCTGTCTTGATTCTAAGGCTGCATTAACGGAATCTTGCAATACTTCAATCTTGTAGACCAGGGGTCCCCAACCACCGGGCCATGGACCGGTACCGGTCCGTGGAACATTTCCTACTGGGCCGCCGGTTTGCTGGGCGCCGCCATCTTGTTTGACAAGAAAGTGCTTCCGGGTGAGCTTTTCCGGTTGGAAAGCGGCGTTTGGGTCCTGAAGGAATCCTCGCACCTTAGTTTCATCGAAGTGGGGGGGCTTCGAACGAAACTAAGGTGCGAGGATTCTTTCAGCACCCAAGGCAAGGCGAGCCGAGCGACCGTCCCGAAGCCGTCCCGAAGCGAAGCCCATCGACAAAGGTACAAAGGAGGAGTTGAAGGTGGCGGGGAGAAGCGGGGGATGGCTGGCTGGCCGGTCGCTCGGCTCGCCTTGCCTTGTCATGCGTGCTGATGCCGGTACCGGGCCACGGATCATTTTGTGATGCCGGTACCAGGCCGTGGCACAAAAAAGGTTGGGGACCACTGTTGTAGACTAACCCGTTGATGGTATGATAAGTGGAAATGACCTTGTCAGACAGGAGGAAGAGCCACAGACAAGACAATGGTCAGATGAGAGGCAGCGGGATCCACAGAAGGAATGGAGCTGGGTAAACATCTCAAATTGGTTTTCACTCTAGACCCTACCTCGTTTCTTAGACTGTAAACATACGGGGAAAGAAATGTACTTTTAGAGAATCTGTAGGGATTCTCAGTCATCCAAGTCATGGTTGTCCCAAAGGTGCTTTTTCAGGAGGCAACTGGACTTTTTTTTGTTTTGAAGACGTTTTGCTTCTCATCCAAGAAGCTTCTTCAGCTCTGACTGGATAGTGGGGAACGGAAGGATTTATATTCCTTGCAAACAGCTGCTCATTTGCATCCTTTTAGAGGGACGTTGAGGCCACTTGGAGGTTTATCTGTGTCCTCCTGGTACTTTCAGACTTGCAAGATTCTGTTAAAGTAACCTTACAATAAAGACAGAGCTAGTGTTCCTGTTTGTGCTTCCTGCTTGGACTACCTCGCATCAGTCTTGCAACCATACAGGACCCCTCCTTTTTCTCACTTTTACTGTCCCCAAACTAAGGTGGTTCCCATTTTGAGTCACTTTCTCCAGTCCCTTTTTTCTTTAGACTCAGATTTTGTTGATCAGACGGTTGTCTCGGCTGTGTCTCTTTCTCCTGTTCTCCAAAGTCATTCTCCGATACCATTACAGGTGCCTTTTGTGGAAAATACAAGGTCTTGGAGGTTAGCAATTATAGCTAGGCAGGGCTGAAGGTGCTCCTGAAAGACGTTTCAAACAGCACGCGATACTTCTGCAAACCAGAGGCAAGCACAAAAGCATCTTGTCAGTAAATAGTGGGGTTTTATTTTATCTTTTTTTGGTCTTTGGCTTCCCTGGATTACTAGACACCTGATGTACAGAAGAGCAATGGCTGTTCTGGTTTCAGATGAATAGATATAGAGATAGGTAGGTAGGTAGGTAGGTAGGTAGAGAGATAGATTAGAGAGAATGAGAGACAGATGGCGATGATAAGAGGGACAGAAAGGGGTAGGACAGACAGACTGACAGAACAATCCTTGGAGCTTGGGTCGCAGGGTGATATCTCCTAGAGCATCAGAAGAGGAGAAGGCATATTTGGGGACCTCTTGATTAAGACAATCTTGGAGAATTTGGTGTCTTCTTCAAAACGTGTGTTGAGATTATACTTCCTTTTTCTGGAATTCTGGAAACTGTAATCCCAACACATCTAGAGATCTTGGTTTTGTTAAGACACAACTCTGAGATGAAGGGATTTTGGGGGTGGGGTGGGGATGTCACCCAAGAATCTCCTAATCCATCATCTGAAATGAAGTGAGTTTTAGAAGTTGTCCAGTGGGATCCATTCTCCCTTTAGAACAGTTTTGGATTAGTTGGAGAACGGAGGAGAGCTATTGAGCTGTTGGAAGAGGAGTTTAGGATCTCAACTGTGGACAGCATTTTGGGAATGAAGATGCTCATTGGGTTGACTGTTCTTGTGCTTTTCGTTTTCCCAGAGGATCCTGCGAAGTTGATCCCAAACAGTGATATTGAGGCGTTAGGAACAGATGCAACTACCGAATCTCTTGACCAGGACTTCCGAGAGAAGAATACCAAAGGCAAGACATGTGGATTGGCAGCCTCTTTGGGGACAACGTCCTTGCATTATGAGACTCTCCAACCAGAAGATAAAGAGATCCTGGCCAGATGTTCCTCACCTTCCCTACAACGTGGTTGTGTGCTAACAGGGATGAAGGTGCTTCCTAAGGAAGATGCGGCCTTGGAGACTGAGGGACTCGCTCTTTGTCCTGGTGCTAGGAGGCCATCCCATAAACAGCCAAGGACTCTCAAGGTTAAATTGACGGCGAAGGTTGCTAGCAGGACCACCAGGGCTTCCAAGATCCTTCACCTCCGAAAATCCATGGTTCACATCCAATTCCAGAATGCTCTTCAGGACATTCAAGGACCTCAGATACTTGGTCCTTCAGGGAAGGGGAAGAAAGTCCCATCACCGCTGCTCCTAAAGCGTTTCAAGCGCCGGAGACACAGTCGTGCCAAGGTTTCTTCCTTGCCCTCTGAGTATCCAGAACTTGTTGGGAAGAGGATCAGGCACTTGTATGAGGAGAAGGACAAGACAGAGGCCTGGTATCAAGGCGTGGTGCTTCGCATTCACAAACCCCACAAGAACCCTTTGAAGACAGTTTATGAGGTGAAATATGACAGCGAGCCAGAGTGGCAATATTACCTCGAGATTCTGCAGGATTATAAGAAAGGTTGGGTGGAGCTGGAAGAATGAGTAAATGGGTGTGTGTGTGTGTTTGTGTGTGTGTGTGTGTGTCAAATTGAGAGGGAAAGAGGGGAGATTTTATTCATCCAGCTGTCTGTCGGATTGGAACACAGCTGAAAGTGTCAACAGGCTTCAAGATTAAAACGGCCTCCCTACATCTGACACAACTTCATCCTGACACACGTTGGCTTACTTACCCCACACCGGCTGAGGCCTGCAGCGCCAATCAGCTGAGGCGATAAAGAAGAGAAAAGCGCAGGGGCCAGTGGGAGAGCTTTTCTCTTCCTTCTCCTCTCAGCTGATGATCGGCTTTTTTTTCCTCCTCTCAGCTGATAGTCGGCGGCTTTTTTACTACCGGTTCGGCTGAACCGATCTGAACCGGTAGCATACCACCACTGCTTCATACCTCAGGGCCCCATAACACTTCCAGAAACCACACCTGGAGTAGCTTTCAGGGTTTTGAACAATGCTTTGAACCACAGCTGGGTTTACAGAATGTCTTCCTATTGTCTCAACTGACACCAGAAGTGAACTACGAATCTCACTGGTACCCTTTACAGATCTTCTCCATGGGTGGGACAGACCCTCAGGACATTGTCCAATTCCTAGAGTGTCTTTAGAACGATGCTTGTCCGAGGGAATTATGGGAAAGCCATGATTTACGTTGCTAAGCAAGGCGGTTGTTTAATCGAGTTGGGTCTGATTTTTACCACCTCTTTGCCCTGGTTGTTAAGTGAACCACTGCAATTTGTTAAGCTTCCCCGATTGAGAAGATCGGGTTCATTTGCCAACTGTATGATTCGCTTAAGAAATACAGTGCTTTGCTTAAACTGAGGGGGGGAAAAATGTCATTTAACAACCATCTTGCTTAGTGACAGAAATTCTGGTCCCAGTTGTGATAGTAACTCAAGGACAACTAAAATAAATTCAACTTGAGGAAGTCCCGTAACCCACTTGATGAGATACACTTCAAAGAAAACTACACCTGTAGTTATATAAAAAAAGGAGCTGTATTTTTAAAAAGTGACCTGACCAGGTTCATACACTTTCAAACTGTGGAACAAAACCACACCCCTGTGTGTCTCAGTTTTCATTTTTGGAGGGCCGTGCTGTTTTTCCCAACCCTGAGGGGCATAAATATGGCACATTTTAGAAATGTGATTTATGTTGCCTTTATAAGGAATTGCTGCTGGTTTCAAGGGTGTTTTGACTTTCAGTTAATTTTTTTATAGGCTTCTTGTTGGAGACTTTTGTCCATGACCTTTGTAAATGTAATTTTCAATACCGGGATAGCAGATATTTCAGTTTAAATGACTTTTCTTTTTTTTTGAAGCTCCAAGAGCTTACTGTGTCTTAAAAAAAAAAAAAGAGGGAAGGATAAAACACAGATAGGTCAAATCTCCTTTGCAGCCCCTCAGGTCAAGGTAATTGTTTTTTAAAAAAAATCATTTCTGAGAAATGGAGCTTGGAGAATCAAAAACGAAGAAGAGCAAGGAAGAAAGAAGAAGAAGAAGAAGAAGAAGAAGGAAGAAGAAGAAGAAGAAGAAGAAGAAGAAGAAGAAGAAGAAGAAGA